TGCGGAGGAGGCAGCTTGTGCCGGGGCTGGGGCCTGCTTTGGGGGACTAGCGGCCGGGGAGGTATGGAGGTGCCGCTCCGCGGGGGCGAAAGAAACGAGGAAGGGTCGCCAGGAGGGAGCCTGTCCCCCCGGGTTTCCAGGGGCAACGGTGTCCTGTGTCCCTGGGGGATATGCTCCAGGGCAGCAGGGAGTGGTCCCTGCAGGCTCCCAGGCTGGGGCCGGCCGCCTTCTGGGGCACTCAGAACTGTCTGCTGCAGTTTGCAAACGGTACTCCCGAATTCTTTTCATTGTAAAAAGGCGCTGTTAAAAATAACTCGTAAAGCCCATCATCTCTTTTAAGTAAAGGGGAAGAAAGAAAGAAGTGTATTCTGTTTTGTAATACCGGGCCCTAGTGATTTCAGGGTAACTAGTCGCGGTGCTGAGAGTTTGACCTAAAGCTCGGCAGTGTGACAGCAACGCCAGCATCCATTCCCGCACCCCAGCACTGTGACGCGAGGGAGGAGGACCCGGTGAATGAAAAGGGACTCTGGGCAGGGCTGGCTTCACAGGCGTGCGATCTGTCTAGTCAGAAAGGGCCCGCACTTAAAAGGACTAACGCACTCTTGAATTTGAACAAGGGTCTCTGCATTTTCATTTTGTACTGGGCATGCATAGAATGTAGCCTATCATGGTTTTATTATTTTGTACCCGCTCTCACACACATCTCTTTGCATTTAATAAACATAATGAAGTAATTTGTTGTTAAAAGTAAGAAAGTATCTTGTACCTAGAATGAACCTGTTAACTCACCATTTAGCTTTGTAAAGCTTCTGTAAATAGTGAGCTTGAGACCTTAATATCCTGGGTTCAGGTGTTTCCCAACTACTTTGAACGTATTAAATGTTTCCATAGGCCGGGCGTGAGTGGTGAGCGCCTGTAGTCCCAGCTACTCGAGGGGCTGAGGCAGGAGAATCACTTGAACCCGGGAGATGAAGGTTGCAGCCTCACCCACGGCACTGGAGCCTGGGTGACAGAGACCACCTCTCAAAAAATAATAAATAAATGTTTCCATATTTTACATCCTTTTAAAATACTTTTTTGAAATTCCACACAATTTGAGCAGACTTTGAGAAATAGGAAGCTAATTTACCTTGTAGCTCTGATGTAACCTCAAATTACATTCCCTATAATTAAAGTTAAACTTTGATAAGTATTTATTGTGTTAAGTGTGTCAAATAGCAATACTGTATTTAAAAGATTTCCCAGCAAAAGAGGAGGTTCATGTGGACAGGACTATCTTCAGGAGCAAGTTCTTGAAAGGTGTGTTTTAATATATTTGAATGTAACCTAAATATACAAAAAGGGAGCCTGTTATTTAAAGGAATTCTCTGGGAAAGAGGTTTTTTCCCCCTAAAACAAATATCACCTCATGGTTTATCATTCTGTTATTCTAGGTTTCACGGGCTCATTTTACTTAGAGCAATCTAATTACACTGACCTTTGTCTAGAATGTGGGATTGATGAGGTCCTAGATCGATCTCAATCAAGTCCAGTTTGCTTTCTTTGGTCTCTGGACAAGGACCGCCACAGCCCCGGCTGCCTGATGCAAACGCACACCTTTGGTCTTTAGGGACAATGGTGAGAAAATTCCAGTGAATCAATGAAAGGTCATCATCCTTGTTTGAGTGTTCTAAAAGTGCATTTTTTAAATGAGTGATTTGGAAGTGTCATCTCTGATTATGGCAAAGAGCCCTTTTTAGATTTTAAAGGCCTATGAATTTCAGTAAGACTATGGCAACATGGAAACGAGTGAGACATTTCATTATTTTTTGTCACAGTGAAAATCTGAAACAGATGTCAAAGAGAGTTTTGGCTCCTCTTTATATTTTTTGTTTTTTTAATGATTACAATAGACATTTATTTAAAGTAAAACATTGGCAGACCAAATAATTCTGAAATTATATGTTTCAGGTTTAACCATCTTCATAAAAATACTTGGAGGACAGCTGCATCCAGACTTCAAATATGTGATGACTTCTCTGACCATTCTTCTCATTCTTTTCTTTCCCAAGTAAGCGCTTTCAGTTATGGCTCATGGTAGAATTTATTCTCTTCATGTTTGGTCCACTGCTCTTAAGGCAAGATCTGCTGTCTCTTAGTCAGGTCCAGTGTTCTAATGCGAAACATCCTGCCATTAGAAAGCCCTCTTATGGCTTCCTTTACATCTTCATCCTCATATATCATCTCATCTCACGTTGACTCTAGTTTCTCAAATCCTGCAGCATTGTCATACCGTTTTCAAATACCGTCCAGCTACCTGTCTGGTGCTGCGGTAGCCAGTCTGCCAGCCATCTTGACCCAAACGCGAAATGTTGCCTTCTCCCTCTGTCTTTTTATTTATTTGTCTAATTTATTTTATTTTATTTTTGAGATGGAGTTTCACTCTTGTCGCTGGACCCAGGCTGGAGTGCAATGGTGCTGTCTCAGCTCACTCTAGCCTCCACCTCCCAGATTCAAGCGATTCTCCTGCCTCAGCCTCACAAGTACCTGGGATTACAGGCATGCACTACCACACCTGGCTAGTTTTTTGTATTTTTAGTAGAGATAGGGTTTCACTATGTTGGCCAGGTTGGTCTTGAACTCCTGACCTCAGGTGATCTGCCTACCTCGGCCTCCCAAAGTTCTGGGATTACAGGTGTGAGCCATTGCACCCGGCCTCTCTTTTTAAACTTTGTTGTTTGAAAAGATAACTTAAGAATGTAAGTGATGAGAATGAGTAGGAAATTTTTTTAATTACCCAGAAGCCAAAAAGACATCCCCAAATCATTAGGTGTTTTCTTTTGGAAGGTGCAGCCTTATCTTCTATTTATAAAGTCTTAGACTTGATGGTTTTTGGTCAAAGATCACTATAAGATTTACAAACTACACTCAATAGTGTAAGAAAAAATATGTATATGTAGAAAAAATGCTGGAAGAAAATATGCTCAACTCTTCACAGTGGATAGTTATTGCTGAGTGGTATGAATATGGCTGATTATTCCTTCCTTTGTATACTTTTCTGTGTTTAACACTGGGCATATATGTTTATTTTTATCAAGTTTTTAAAAATTATAAAACTTTTGGAAGTACAAGGTAGCACTGATTTCAGAGCATGGAAAAAGTTACTCTTTGCAAAACAATTTCATAAATAACCAGCAATATCATTTGGGTGCCTAAAATTATTAACTCTAATTTTTTAAAGGAGCTTATGCAGAAAGAAAGACTAAAAGTTACATACATGTCTAATTTACCTTTTTCTCTGAAATTGATCTTAAATGAATGGATTCAAGTAACCCCCTGCAACCCGTCACCAAGGAACATCTGCAGCAAAGGGCAAAATAAAAGATCATGTTTAAGGTTATCCAGTTCTCGAACTCTGTAACTCAGACCTCCTTGACTTGAGGAACCCAATGATGTCAAGTTGGGATTGTAGCAGTGAACATGGTTTGGGAGCAGATGCCATAATGATCTGTGTAAGCTTGACCCAACAGGGTTATCTTCATTGATTTTATGCAGTGATCCAATGTCGTGTATTTAGTATAGCCAAGTTATTTAATAACTTCGATGGAAGGCTTAGTCCTACAGATTGGTGTCTAATTTTGAGTCGCAAACCTCCAATATAGGGTAGACTAGGTATAAATTTAAGCCTCACAGTTCTGTATTTGGGCCTTGAATAATTTTGCTCCATGTCTCTCTGGGGATGTGGTAAGGGGAAGTCTACGATTTCAGCCTACTTAATTGTGTTCATATGAGCATCATCCTATTGATAAAGTCATTATTTCTGCCCAGTTGCCAGATTCCAAGACAGCAAAAAGAGAAGTTATTTGCTTCCTCCCAATTGTTAAGTTTTACTTTTGCTATTCCAGCCCAAAGCCTACGTGTAATTTGCCTGGGCTAATTATTAAAGTCAGTTTCTGTACTCTCAGCACATGCCAGAAGTGGAGGTAGGAGGTGAGGGGAATGGGTAAATGATCCTGAAACTGTCGTTTGCTGTAGATAAGCTAGAATTAGCTAGCTAAATTCTGCCAAGAGTTATAGTTCTCACTTTTAATGACTTCCTTAATAATATTTTTAAAGGGACCACACAGATGCTTCCAAATG